ATTCCCTTTGCCACGGGCGGGCAAGAAATTTGGTGTGCATCTAGTCAGGCCTATAGCCACACAACCCTAGTCGATCGATGAATGCAGTACTTTCTAGCTTGGAGGTCAGCTAACCAAGACCATCCTATTGTTGACCTGTTCAACAACATTCGTTTGTCTGGTCTTCCAGGTGTGTTGCGAAACAATTCGGACGATTTTGCTCTTTTTTCAGAAAGTATTAGGCAGCGTTCAGACTTCGTAACGCGCGTCAAGGCGCGACGACGCGCTGTAACGCGTTACAATCTCAAGCGCTCCCATCATATAGAAGCGAACGCAGCGCAGAGGAGGAATTGCTCGTCATCGCAAAGTTTGAACGCTGCCTCACGATGAACTTACGGTAGCCTTCAACGCTTTTTCAGGGCATGACATTTTCGACATTCGCCATGAAAGAAGGAAGTACGAAAAGGTCCAAGTACGTCAAGGACACATGTGTACGGTTGTGTAGGTTTTTGGAAATTAAGGTATGTCCTGTAAGTCATACTGAAGTGCTCACTCTATCAGTTGCACTATAAAGGTCAGAGAAGCGCTTAGAACAATGGAGCTGTGTCGAAGTCCGTTTTTGAATGGGGCCAACTGGAGTGTCGTTAAAGCTCAGACATCAGGCCGTCTCGAAAAGCACACCGCAGAAATGGAGCACGAAATCGTGAGTTACTTCCTATTGATCAAAAAGGTGGGCGGAAGTAGCGCGTTGGCAAGCGCAGTTCACCATGTAACCACAGTCGAAGTGGGTGTGGAGGGGGACGAAATCCTCCTTTTCCCAACCAAGCCTGTTATTCTTGCAGAGCAAATTGCTGCAGGCTTGTATACTTTCCATGAATCAGTCTTTGCTAAGACTCGTAACTTTTTCGAGAACGATTCTACTTATTCATTTCTCCTAGATGCAACAACATGATGACGAGATGTCCGATGAAGATGCTTCTGAAAAGGAGAGCAAAGGTGAAGTGGTGGATGCAAGAATTGGGATCTATGGAATACTTCTAGCCAGAGTACGTTTACCTATCCAGTTTTCTCAAGTTACTGTCTACGGTCGTCGTCGGGGTCGGGTCGCGATCATAATGCTTTTTCCTTTGGGAGCGCCCCCTTCTCTGTCCTCATGAAAAGGCCTAGTTCCTTTCATATGACGATCCCGAAATATGAAAAAAGTTCTTCACTTCAAAGTTCACCCTAAGAAGCTTCGATGATCTGAAAGCGTATTCTAGAGGAAATATCAAAAGTGCACAAAACCAAACACGGGCGGAGGGTTGCAACACGCAAGCGCGCATCGCGACTCCGCCCGCGCTATTCTCATTGTCAGGGTGCACCACTTGCGTCAATCCCAAAATCCTACAGCTATATGTCAGATTCAGAGAACAGGCCAGAAGTGAGATGGCGCAGATAAATATTACGTTTGGCCATGGTTAGGCACGTGGCTGGCCGTGCGGCAGCACTGACGGAGTTTGCATGCCTTCCCGACTGTCACTACCTCGCACCTCGGCCATGCACCTTTAAACGTACAAAGTGGCACGCTTCTACAGCTGCGGATCCATTCACCTCACAGATGGCAAGAACTAGTACCCACGGAGGTGAATGCACAGTTTGTCCGTAATGGTCTCTAAGAAGGAGAAGTAGCAGCTGAAAAGGCGATAGTCTTTCCAGTCGCCCTGTAGTTTCACACCCCTGCAGTTTTTTTTCATGTTCAGGTGCAAGACTCGTGGTCTCGTGGAGCACTTTCCGGAAAAGTGTCCCATATTATCACTGCCATTTTGGAGCACGGTATTGATGAAGGACAAGTCACCGCTGAGGACATAGCACAATATTTAGAAAGCCATCGTCCGAGTTGTTTCGACAGAATCCTGTACAGTATTTCCGAGTGTTTGTTCGTGAGTGACTTCCTGATTCAGTGAAATTTGCTCTCCGATCCTGACCTCCTTTGCTGTGATGTGCCTGTTGTTGACCCTTGGAGAGGAAATGAGCATGAGAGGCAAAAATCTAAGCGATGGTCAGTTGGGTCCGGAAAGGCTGCGAATTTCGCCATCGTCCAAAATCAGAATGATATTTCGAAGGCATACCTCTCCTATACAATGAGTGACGGGCCAGGCGATTCAATACAGATCGGCTCCTAAATAACTACAATACCATTCGATAGACTGTGTAGGGATGGAAGGCATGGTTGGCTCGCGTCCAGACTTACTCCAGATTTGAACTTTAGAAAGCGTTCCTGGTGATTAGCAGCCCACTTGCTGTTACACATCAACCCTGGAGATCATGGTCCTGAAGAACTTTCTTATCGTCGTGCTCAACCATGAGGCCGTGGTAATGTGAGTCTGAGAGGCTCGTTAGTGCCATGCATGCAGATGTGAAACAAAAAGTACAGCGCATACATATAAGCTGTTCTCCCAAGCGGCTGCCGACTAAAGGAAGCTTCACCCAGTCCTCCAAGGACGGTCTCTCCCATGCGAGCGAGCGGGTCCGCAGCTGCAGTAGCGTGCCACTTTCTCCATTCAAAAGTGCGCGTGAACGGGGCTGTAGGGCAGTGGTACCCGGTGCCAGCTCCGCACTTTGTCACCACTATCCTCAAGGTGAAGCACTTGCGTCGGTACCAAAGTCCCGCAGCGAAACACGTACCCAGCGATAGACACTAATCAGAAGTGGGGCACAGACAAGCAGCGCGCGTTTGGCTTTGATTAGGCGTTGGCTGGCCGTGAGGCAGCCCGGGCGGAGTATGGAGGCGACACCGGCATCACAACTCTCCATTCCCTCTCCCATGCGCTTTTGACCGGATAAAGTAGCGCGTTACGCAGCTGCAATCCAATGCCTCCAACCTGAGCAAGGCCCACTATATAGGAGATGAATGTACCGTTTGTCTTCAAAGGTACCATTTTCAAGAGAATAACTTCGTGTTCCCAAAGAGCAGTTACATTTTCAGACGTGGATCGGCTATGATTCTTGCATTAATCAGTTTGCTGAAATTGGCGACTGTCCGCTGCTGGCTTCACAGAGAACAAATTTGCATTACGTCACATCAAGACCTTTCGAAAAGTTAGTCAACAAAGAATCCTTTTCTTAATCTGGCATAGAGGCAGTGTGCGCGATAATTTGGTTCTGTGAGGAAAACGAAAACATAGGCGCTTTATAGTGCGACAGTAAAGCAAAATGAGGC